TTTAATTTTATAGATGAGAAGAAATCATTTGGTGCACAGACAGTGTTCACCAGTAGTTTGGGCGGCTCCAGCCAACAGCCCACCAGGGGGACCGTTGGCTAGAACCGTGGCCAACCGGGCCTAGGTAACGGCCCTATAAGGGGACCGTTGCCTAGAGCTGGTAGATTGGCGGTTTGAGGGGCGGGCCTACTTGAGCCCCACCCCAAGCTCCATTGAGGGTTTCCTGTGCAGTGGCCGGGCCCTTGTGGCTCAGCTACGTATCGTTTCGGACGGGGTGTCATGGGCCCTTGTGGCTCGGTACCTCGGGGCCGTCTTGACACACGTTTTGGCTTTGATTTCGTTGAGTTTGGAGAAGATTTGAGCCCTCTATGATACTTTTTGTGAGGGAAATTGTGACAGAAGCATGTCCAGTGAATGAGATTAAGTGTTTATCAGACTTTGATCATCTATATGTTGAGCATGATGTTATTTGATTGAGCATGATGTTATTTGATTGTTAAATAGAGAAGTATGTGCTTACAGATGAGTTTTTTTAGGAAAATATTCTTGAATTGTCTTGTATGACTTATTTAAAAATTATTGCTAATTTTACAAGCATGGAAGTATACAGAGCATGTCCAACTTGAAAGCATGATTTACAGTAAATGAATTCTTTGAGTAATTGGAGTTTAAATAGCATGCTAACTACTTGTTTAAGTGTTTTTTAGAAGATTTGTTAAGTAATGAGTTTCAAGCATGATTTATAGGTTTTGATTGAGTTTCACAGTGAATAGAAAGTAGAAGCATATCTTTACAGTGAATGCCATTTTGAGCATATCATGTTTGAAAAGTGCATAAGTGGTTAATGTGAGCCTAAGTATTATTTTCCTACAAACTCATATCCATTATAGAGAGTTATTATCTTGTCATATTGAGAATGAGTTGAGAAGTTATGTGCTTATTTGCATAAGAAAAGTGTTGCATATTGAGATGCATGAGTGATATATTTATATATATGTATTGTGAGGAAAACCTTGTTTTGGAGGACCGTTTGGACTATGTCCTTTCGGAGTAAAAGAGAAAGCAACGGACATTGCGATCCGATATCATGTAACGCAGCGTATTCCCACGTTAGAGGTTGGAAACTGTCCGCCAGGCTTGAAATCCTGGTCAGGGGGTGTGCACACTAATAGTTCGATACCTGATTCCACAGAGTTTGAGTTTTGGAACCACGAGATTGGTTCTGTGGGAGGGATGAGAGATTGTCCGGCTAGACTTTGTGCCAAATGGGTCCATTCACATTATGGTGAAGCCCGGCCTCGCCCACGAGTAAAGAGAAAGCGAGTCATCACGACTCTAAGAAAGCGAGTCATTGAGACTCTGAGAAAGCGAGTCAACACGACTCTAAGAAAGCGAGTCATTTTTGGCTCTAAGAAACCTCCACAGAAAAAGTATACTATTTATAAAAGAGTGTATATGTATATCTATACTTATACTATAACATCATCTTATGAGTCATATAGCTTGCAACAGATTGCATCAGTAGTAGCACGAGATTGCGTATTTATATCTTGCACTAGATTGCATGAGTAGTAGCACGAGATTGCTTATTTATATCTTGCACTAGATTGCATGAGTAGTAGCACAAGATTGCTTATTTATATCTTGCACTAGATTGCATGAGTAGTAACACGAGATTGCTTATTTATATATCTTGCACTAGATTGCATGAGTTGTAGCATGAGATTGCTTATTTATATATCTTGCACTAGATTGCATGAGTATTAGCACGAGATTGCTTATTGATATATCTTACACGAGATTGCATGAGTAGTATCTGATGGCATGAGTTGCATATTTGATTTATTTGACAAAGCATGAGAATGTTGATTATTTGAGAAGCTTTAGATTGTTCATAAGATGAGAATGTGATGAGTGTATGCCTATTTGAGTATTAGGTTGCAAGCATCTAGAAGTTACGCCAAAGTATGTTAAGTGTTTAAACTTGCTTGAGCAAAGAAAGTGGAACCTTGTTTTCCAAAGTATATACTGTACTTACTTTACAGGGTTGAGTATCGTTATACTTAGCTTCGTGCTAACGGATTTGCTTGTTACTTGTTGTTTGTTAACCCCTTTCAGGTAGGCCCAGTTCGTAAAGTTGAGAGCACGAGTTAGACTAGTGTAGCTAGATAGCTTGTAGTCTAAACTCTTCCAATTTTTATGGTTGTAATAGTTGCCCTTTTGATGGTGCTGGACACCAGGGTTTTATTCCCCTAGTATTTCGTGGATGTTATGACTTTAATGTTTTAGTTTTACCCTTAGCCTGTGCAATCAACGTAGAGGGTGATTGTGGCGGTGACACTCCTTTAAGTTATTAATTAAGTTTATTTCTGCTGCTTACTTTATCTTTAAGGTTTAGTTTGTATATAAGTTTAAGAAAAAGGGGGTGTTACATACTACACTAGCTATTGCAATAGATTAACAAATTCCCTACAAATTAGCCACTAATGAATTACAATAGCCATACACATTAAAACAATTTTCCTAATCTACTAGTTTTGCCCAAATCATCATCCGCTAGCTACTTCATACTGTTGGTCCCGGTAGGGTCGAAAGAGAGTCTAGAGGGGGGGGGGGTGAATAGACTAGTCAATTTTTCAAAGTGACTCCTTTCAGAGTGATGCACTGCGAAATAAAATGTTTCGTTTTAGATTTACTTTGCACACTTTCGTTATGAGCTCTTAATGTTTGGTCGATATGGTATGCAATGCACAAAAGATAAAGAGCAGTATTTAAAGAGATATGACGAGAGAGATTTTTATAGTAGTTCGGCTGTTAACAAAGCTTACTCCACTCTTCTTTCACAACTTGTGAAAGGGTTTGCACTATCACTCCTAATACAAATTACTTCAAGTTGGCTTCCTTGATCACTAAACCGGACAGCCACTTGGTAGGTTTTTCAACTCCTCGAGTTTACTCCACCTCTATCAACTTCTTCATAAGAGTTGTGTGTTGGAAAGATGATATCGTGTTTCTCCAATAGGTTGAAGCCTTGTCTTGATGTCTGGATGAATCTTCACGTGGAAAAGATGCAAGACTTCTTCAAATTTGTGAAGTGTACATGATGGATAATCCTTTTGAAAACTTCACAAATACAATTCACTGGTTATGAAAAGCTTTGGAGATGAGAATGTTTGAAGAGCTTTTCTTAGGATAGCAACAGTTGAACAATCAGCACATTCTTCAATGGAGAAGAGAGGTGTTTATAGGTGAGGAAAAATTCATCCGTTGGAGGGAGATGGAGATTTCGAACCTATTAACCAGTGTGAATTGACCAGTGGGCATAGAGCATTTAATGTGCTTGTACTGTGTAGCTGTTGGTGTCAAAAGAATTATCGCTTTTGTCCATGTTCTCTGACAAGATGGTACAAGTCTTTTAATGCTCCTTGTCTTTTGTAAAAATCATTCCTAGGATACCTTTTGTCCCGAATGATTATCCATCTGTAAGTCATAGACAACATTCTTATTACTTCACTTAATGAAGGTTGTCTTTACAAGTCTGACTTAACCTTGTTTCCTTAGAGAGGTTCTTCGAAAGATTAACCTTGTCTTTCGACCTTTCTCTTAGACGAGAGATCCTTTTGGTCATATGATGTTTATCCGAGAGTTGGACCTTCCATCTTTCGTCTGCAACAATCTTTCGCCCGTCTCGTTTTCTTCATGTCTTCAAGTAGACCTATCATACTAGTCTCAAGTAATATTCCTACACCACATAGTGTGAATCATACGTTGAGTTACAATGACCTTCGTTTGTAACGAAAGTTCTAAACATGAAATGGAAAATAGGGGTCTACAATCCTAGTGAGTTTCGTATCATCAAAATCTAATTACACTTGTTCCTAACACATACTTAGTTACGTTAATACAATATATTTATGTTATAACATATATATGCATGTTATAACATATATACCATTGTTTAATAAATTATATTGTTTTTGTATAAGTTTATGGATTGTAACATGCTTATTAATTAAAAATGTTATGTTCATGTCAAAGAGATATTTTGCGATACATATTCATGTCTCAACAAAACATGAATGCATGTTAATTAATGACATGAACTACTTTAAATAAGTTAATTGGGATAATAGATTAAGGAACATTTGGTTTAAGTTATGTGTTAAAAATCTCATGCGATATCCAAAACTGTAATGTGAAATTTTTAAGAATGATTTTGTTATTAGTATTATATTATTTTTCACATTCTTCGATATCACATTCCGATCCTTTCAATTTCTACAAGTTCTTTAATTTAAGTTTTTTTATTATCCGGTGGTGCCTTTAATGTGTCTTACCTCTTTCAAAGTGTGTGTGTATATATTTCACAATTGTAAAATTATCTTGTGTAGGCATGTTATGAATGGTCCGTATGATCCTAGACTAGATACAAACTAAGGATTTTGGCTTACCAATTGATCCTTACTTTAGAGCCTTGATATTAAATCCAAGTTTCTTAAGTGGTAATAATTTTATTTGTATATTTTTAAATTACCTCGTTGTAGGGGTAAAAGGCTCAAACAGGTAGTAGAAGTGGGTTCGAAACACAAAAGTAGTAGAGATCAGGGTCAACGATAAAAATTTTTAAGAAGTTTAGAGTTAGCGATGGTGGATCAAAGCAGTGAAGAGTTGAAAAGGAAGATCTAATTGTAGCAATAGAGAGCTGGCAATGGAAGATCGAAGAAGCAAGGGATCTGTGATAAAGATCAAAGAAGTAGAGAATCGGCAATGAGACAGCCGCACCGTCGTTGCACGGGAGGGGTGCATCATGAGACCACAACACGATCCTCGCACAGGTTGAGTCGGTTGGACTTGATCAAGATTCTATATCTATATATAAAAGAAATTCTAGAAGAGGAAAGAAAAACTTGTGTCGTTAAAATTCCCAACAAATTAAATTAGCCACTAATGAATTAGATACAACAGCCATACATTCAAGCAACACTACAAAAGAAGGGTTTTCACCAATCAGCACTCGCAACATTCTTGAAAACCTCCTCTACCCTCTCCCCGCCGCTGTGTGCCTGGGTTTCCTCATCCAAATTCTTAATCACCACACTCACCTTTGACACCTTGTACAGGATATCATTCATCTCCGCTTCAGCTATGGCTTTTTCTTTCTCCTTTGCGTCAACAATTTCGGCCGCCTCGCACAGCCTAATCAGCTCGCTTATCCTGCCATGCAAGAACCCCACATCCATGCCAAAATGTCCCACCCCTATCAGAGTTCTATCCCATACTCCCAAAACATCACGGCCCGTTGCGAGCGTAGCAGCTTTGATGCCATCGGTGATTTTCACAGTTTCTGTTATTGCCCCGGCGATTAGCGTGTAGTTCAACCGAGGCTCTTGAAGCTCATGAAGATACGCGTTTCGACTGTGGCACAGCTCATAGTACATGAGCCTGGTATATTCGGAGATCGCAGAATCTATGTTTATGTTGTTGACAACAACCTTAAAATACTCCATATGTTTCACTTGTGAAAACTCAGAATCTATGTTTATGCGACTGCGGCACAGCTCATTGAAAATGATTGTTGTGATGAGTCGGTGATGGAAGGCGTTGATTTGACGATGGAGCGAAGCAAATAGACGTCCGGTGGTGGGCTGACGGCACGTTCTCGTTGAGGAGAGAGCAACTGACAAGTATGGTATGAAATTTAGGAAATAACTTAAAATAGAAAGTGAGATACCCAACTAGGTAGATACTCAGGGTTTCTGGATATGGTCACACAAACAAAAGTTGAATTTGGAGGAAATTCTTTTATTCATGTAGTTGATTATGAAATTTTTTTGTGGACCATAAAAAATTACATTTTAATATATTAAAAGTACATTATTTGTGTATTGAATGTACATTATACAAAATAATGCACTTTCAATACTCAAATAATGTATTTTCTCCGAATACAAGGTACATTTTTAATATATTAAAAGTATATTATTTGTGTACTAAATGTACATTATTTGATAATATACAAAATAATGTATTTTCAATACTCAAAGAATATACTTCAAATAATGTACTTTTTATTTATGTTCCACACAACTATTTGAACAATGGTCCACACAATAATGATTGATATATATCATTGTCTCAAGAATTAATTTCACCTAAGGAGTCAAAGTGGAGGCCCACATGTTTAATGCTAGTCGCTATATCGTGGACCGCAGTGCACGTGCACCGCAGTCAAAACGGCAACGTTTCTTTAAGTAAAGAAACGACGCGCCGTTAGTTCTAATGGAGTGCGCTTTCTGTATGTCAATTACCAACTGACAGTATAGTATGTCTAAACTGACACTGCCTCACGTATTATTTTTATATTATCAAATGAAACTTCAGTTATATCAAAATGATAGATACTATAGTTGTGGTGAAATGAAACTGCTGTGTATATATAATGAAACTGAATAACATTTCACATATTTGAGTGTATACTGTACAGTAGAGAGCTGACAGTGGAAGATCGAAGAAGTAGAGAATCGACAATAATGAGACGGTCGCACGGGAGGAGTCCGCTCACTTGTTCTCTCTCTCTCTTCACTTTCTCACCGCCACATCACTCAAATTTTCTCAAAATCCACTCTAAAATCCACTAATGTGGATGGCCTAATGAGGAGAGGCCAATAGGAAATATGCAGTCCCAGCTATAACCTCCCAACGCTCCAAACATAGCTTCACCAGCATGGCATCCCGGTCAATCATTGGAAGTTTAACATCTATTTAACATGTTATGATACATTTTTTTAACCTTTTAGGTTAAACCGATATATGCATGTAATAACTTATAACATTGTTTAATAATTTTTTTTTTTTTTTTTTTTTTGTATAAGTTTATGGATTGTAACATGTTTTATTAAACATGTTATGTTCATGTCAAAGAAATATTTTGCATTACACATGTCTCAACACAACATGAATGCATCTTAATTAATATGACATGACCTACTTTAAATAAATTAATTTGGACAATATATTTAGAAACATTTGGTTTAAGTAATTAGGTTATGTGTTCAAGATCTCACTCATATTAGTCTTGTTTAATTTGGTTTGTAAACGCACGAGATCTAAAATGTAATATGCATGAGATTTTCAAGAATGATTTTGTTATTAGTATTATATTATTTTTCACATTCTTAAATATCACATACTACAAGTTCTTTGGCTGGATAGAAATGAAGGAGTTGAACCCGATTTTGTTTGTTTTAACCAGTGCCCGAATGTTAATCTTGCGGAGTTAGTCCATAGAGATTGTATAGAGTGCCGTTCGCCTGTGGTGCCTGTAAGTGTACATATTTTGTACATATTAAACCTATATTGGTTAATTTATTTTTATAAATAATAGACTTAGGTTAGCCAAAGCTCTTGGACCATTTTTATTTATCATAGTGTATTTAATTGAGTGGCTCACAATTATTGTGTATATGAAGAGGGAGTCAGCAATCAAATTGTGGTTCAAGCTAATTATAAGGATTTGGTTTATAAAGGAGTGGCAGCGAATGATTTGAGCATTTGATGAAGCTATTCACGTGGCATATTTTGGTGAAGGGATTATTACTATAAAAGGGAAGATTGCTCATTGTGGAAACTTGCCAATTTGATATTTAATACTATTTTGAGAAGTGAATATTATACTGCTAACAAATTGAATTAAATATATTATTCTGCTGAGCTACGGTCTGCGCCTGATTCAGTTGAAGTACTGTTCAAAGGTTATCAAGGCATGCACGTCACGGTCCAGGTTGGATGTTAGGAAGGTTGTTTGTAGTATGGTAGCTAAGACTGTGACAGTCTAATGTACTGTTCTATTGTAAAACTCCTCGGTGAACATCTATAGTGGATTAGGCAGACGTGGGTTGCCCCGCAGACGTAGGAGAAGGGCTCCGAACTACGTAACAAATCTTTGTGTACTTGATTTAATTACTGCTTTTATTTTCTGTTATTTACTATCACTAAATAACAAAAAATTAATCTGTCAAAATTTAATATGAGTATAAAAATCAAGTAGAAGTTTCAGGTTCGTTTAGTTTAAGGTTCACGGCATTATTTCATTAACTAATTTGGTTGTTTTGTTTTCTAGAGCTTCGCCCTTCCCTTTGTTCAAAAAACAAAATGACTACAAGTTCTTTAAATCAATTTTTTTTATTATCCGGTGGTGCCTTTAAGGTGTTTTACCTCTTTTAAAGTGTGTGTGTATATATTTCACTATTGTAAAATTATTATCTTGTGCAGGGCCCGTGATAGGAATAAATTGTAATAGATTTTGATATGCCAAATTGTAAATCGTAGAACCCCAATTTCATTTTGGTTAGACTAGTCGAGTCATAGACCAAGAAAGGGGAAATTAATCCATTAGTTGAGGAAAATGGATGAAGAAGATATCAAGCCTAAAATCAAGAATTTGCCTAGTGAAAATGGCAAATAGAAGAGGAAGATGTATGCATATGATATGAAGACCTTCATCCACGAAGAAATCTCTCAAGAAATCTATGAAGAAATCCCTCAAGATCAGAAATCCCTCAACAATTCCTGACGAATTCCCGAAGAAGAAGAACATGACTTGAAGTTTACATGAAGCTATCTTGAAGATCAAGCATCTATGGAAAGAAATCCCAAATGAAACGAGATGATAACCAAATGGTTGTTCGTACAAAATGGTAGAGTTTTGAAACTTTAAACGCAAAGTCAGAGGTTTGAATCTCACATCTCACATATCTTTAAAGAATCCAAGATTACATCCAACTGATAAAGGGATTAAATTGGAGATTTATTAGAGATTTCACTTCCAAATATAGTAAGGGTTGAAGCAAAAATACTAGTCTAAACTATTAAGGGATTAAATTGGAGATTTATTTTGAAGCAAATGGCATGATCTAGATGAAGTATGGGATGCCATTTTTGCGTAGTTTGAAGCTCAATTATGACATATCTACACCGTTATCTTATCCTCTGAAAAGGCTATAACAGCTAGAAGAAATTCAAAAATGAGAGCGTTTCTTTCCAACTGACAGATTCCAGCTATTTAAAGATGATGATTGAAGCAGTGGAAAGCATGAGCAAGAACCACAAGAGCAAAGAACAGAGCTAAACAGAGCATACGAAAATTCAAAAGAGCTTTCTATCTCAAGAGCTATATTTGATATATTCATGAGAAAAACACTCAGAGTGGTACAGAGCTTACAAAAGAAATATCCCAGAGTGTTATAATAATCTTCATCAAATACAAGAGACTTAGCGCACCATCGAAGATCATCTACAAAGTCTCAGAAGTAGGAAGCAAGGCAAACTTGTTTTGGTGCAAAACAAGTAGAAGTTCTACCGGAGCATAGAATTCGGGGGGAAAGTAGCACGGAGCTGAGCTGTGAAATCCTGGAAAGTAGCACAGAGTTGTAATATCCGAAGTTGTAGTTCTATTGGAGCATAGAAAGGGAAGGAAAGTTACGCGGAGTCGTGAAATCCCGGGAAAGTAACGCGGAGTCGTGAAACCCGAAGCAGCAGTGTTAGTGGCACTAGGCGTGATTAGTGCGGGTGTAATACCCAGTTTTTCTTCCTTCCGATTTAATACTTTTCTTTCTTCATTCTTTTAAATCCTTTGGTCCTAATCCATTTGATTCCTTATAGCCTCACTATTATTATTATTATTATTATTATTATTATTATTATTATTATTATTATTATTATTATTATTATTAATTATTGATAAGAAAAGTATATATTATTTTTTTGGTACAAAATCAAGTGGCGTAATACATATATTGTTATTTCAAAAATGTTTCCTTTATTACATGTGTAATATGCGTATAGTATACATATATATTATATTTACAACTTTTATATATATATATATATATATATATATATATATATATATATATTGGACCGTGTGTGTATATATATAGTACGTATATATATAATATCTTCTTTATTATATGAATTAAAAATTGATTAGGAAGATTGGAGGTTACATAAGTTACAATCCTTATAATTATTCTATTCATTATTATTATTTTAAGTATGTATTGATGATGATGAGAATCATTCCTTCTTATTCTCCTTTTTCTTGTACCTTGGCCGACACTTATAAGAAGAAAGAAAAAAATATTCCTCTTAGCTTGTTCTCTTTCTCCATTTCGGCATTCCTCCATATATTCTTGAAAAAAATAAACTTCTTCCATTTCTTTCCTTCAAGAATTGAAGTGGTTCCTTCCAACTTAGTAAGTCTTCTATGTTTATTGATTTTATTTTATGAGTAGAATGGAAATAGGGTTGTGATATTTTTATGTGCTTATTGTGTTTATTATTGGATGGTGATCATGGTCGATAGAAGCAGAGGATTTGAACAATTCAGGTTTAGAGTAATTGAGGATATGCAATAAACTTTCAAGGTAAGATTTATTGTCACTCAAAATTATTTTGCCCCAAGATAAAAATATTCTCCTAAGTGCTTATGTGAAAATCATTTTCATCAAAAATCAATTTTTTTATCTTTCAATGATTGCTATGTGTGATTCGTGATCTTCGTGCAAATTGTGTTTAATAAGTAAGTTATTTGAAATAAATACATACATATATATATATATATATATATATATATATATATATATATATATATAATGTATATAATCCGATTATAGGTACTGGAATTGCATTTTAATTAGTATATATGCGTGAACTTATATTGTATGTCGTATACGTATTCGAATTATATGTTGATTAATAGACTGAGTAGTTATGAATATATGTATGTTTGGTTGGTTGGTGTACGTACTGTATGATTTCATTTATTACTTGTTTATAGGTATGTATTAAGCATATCAATTAGTTTGTGCGTATATTATATATTATATATTATAACAATACATATTGGTATGTGGTATGAATACTTGGTACATGGTATGAAAAGTGGTGTAATCAATGTATTGTCATGCATATATTTGTATATTTGATTATGGTGGAGAGAATAAATTAATTGGTATAAAATTATATTATAATTCACTTTGGTCAAGGAGGATTTGTACCCGGATTTTCTTGTGAGTTTGGTCTCTCACGTTTGATGGGGGATTATTATTATATACCGGTGTGGGCCGGGTAGTTAATCCCACGATTGATTATGGATATGGAGTCTACTTTACATGCCTGTGTGGGCCGGGTAGTTAATCCCACAAACTCCTCGAGTTCGTTCTGCCCATTGGTGTAGGTGTCCCATTGGGGGTATGTATACTTAAGGAATTGATCTCGGACCAACTGTGTGGGTCTCCGGTTGGTTTTTTTGGTCACTGGGGCCGAAGTAATGGCTATTGCCTGGTATTTTTCCTCCTCATTGACTTGGTGGTAAACAGTGGATAAATATGAAAATGTCATAATATATTTTGATTGATGGAAATTTGTGGTAAATAAAGGATTAAATCCTATCCTATTATTGATAAAAGTGGTGAAACGTGGAGGTTGTGGAATTTTATGTGAAGTTAAATGATTGTATGGGAAATTCTGGAATGTTATGTGGAATTATAAATTATATTTATTATATGATTGATTTGATAATTGGTGATTAAATGTGGAGTGGTATTAGGAATTAATCTAACGATAATATGACTAAGGGGTTAACATTGAATTATGTGTTCCAAAGTGTTACGTGTTATGTGCAAATATTTTACGGGGTGTAATAAGTCTTACCAGATGTTGTATGCTGAATTTAATTTGTCCCCTCCTTAGTTCTTTTGCAGGTACATCTTGCATGACTGATGTGCATATTTTACGCTCATATTTTAGGTACATCTTTATAATAATTTTGCATTAATTATTTAATATTATCTAATAATTAGTTATTTTTATATATAATATATAATATATATAATAAATAATATATAGAATACTAATATATATATATATATATATATATATATATATATATATATATATATTTTACTTTAGTATGATTAGCTAATCCATTTCCTATCCTAATCCTATAACACTAACGCCCAACCCACCTAAATTGTTAGAAAAGACATAATAAATTAAACATTTAAAATTGCTTTTGTTTCTTTTCATAGGTACAAAACGTGCAGCAAAGCTTCATCAAAAGGCTACGCAATTGTTGACGAAGAACGAAGATCGTGGAAGAATTCATAGCTTGACGAAATAATAGGAATTGCATGGTCGAAATTAGTCTGAAAATAATTTAGGAAGTGTATAAATAGTAGAACATTTTATTCATTCTTCGTTCATTCTTCCCCTCTCGAATATTCTTTAAGGTTGTTATCAATGCCCATTCACGGCTAATTTCTTGTTTGGATTAGTGAATTGAAGCCCCGGAGTTCATTACGCTGTAAGGTTATTTATTTATTTTTATTATATATTTTTTATGCATTTGAGTATTAAATATTCTTCAAAGTTATTTGAAATAATTGTGTCATTTAATTGCTAGGGAGGCCTACTAGTTATTTATTTGATATAATTATTTGCTATATTAGATAATGTTGTGCTACAAATTACTCTAATATTCAGTAGCAACTGGGTTAATTATTGACGGCTTAGTGATAATTGGACTCGGGTAGAATATTTTCCTAAATTAAATGCAACCGCTTGTGCTTGTGTTATTTAGTTTGTCCGTTTTCCTAGTTCCTATTGCTGCTATTAAATTAAATCTATAGCGCTTGTCTTAGGTTATTTAGTAGTTAGGGGTAATTAAACCGCTTGTGCTTTATTTACCTACAACTAAGGGAAAACAGAAATGAAATAATTTCACGACAAATATTCAATTGCATATTAATTACTTTATTAATCAATGATCAGTGTTGAATTCCGGTGGTGGATCTTTACTAACCAAGGTCTCCTATTATAAGTGTTTTCAATATATTATTTTCATTGCTTTATTCGTTCAATTAAATTTCTTGTTTATTTAAATTCTCTTTTATTTTATCTTTATTCTCGATATATTCCAAACCCCCCATTATTTCCTTGAGCACAAAAGTTAAACTAGTTACTCCTCGTGGGATCGATCCTTACTCCCGCTACTACGTTTGTAAGGTTTTAATTTGGGAGCCTACGACAGCTCATCAAATTTTGGCGCCATTGCCGGGGAGATTTTCTAGCTTATTTTGTGTTTATTTAATTACTTATTTCTTTATTTGTTTATTTGTTTTTCATTTGCCCAAAAAAAAAAAAAGAATTTAAAAAAAAAATCTTCTCTTTCGTTACTTTTGCATAAATGCTGCAATATATTTTCTTTTCTTTTTTTATGCCTATAACTCGATCTGCTAATAAAAAAATTTTGCCGTACTATCCGGAAATTGAAAGAACTATACGCAGGTGGAGAAAACAAGCTTTGAGCAAATTGGAGTTTAGTGATCTGGCTACCGATTCTACCAATTCTGATTTAGAAGGGGAACTCATGGCTCAAAATCGGACTTTAAAAGAGCTTGGAGCTTCAAATCTAGATCAACAACCATTATGCATCACCTTCCCTGCTCTGGATGCCAATGTGCAATTCGAACTAAAGTCTGGATTAATTCATCTTTTGCCTTCTTTTCGTGGACTTGCAGGTGAAGATCCTCACAAGCATTTAAAGGAATTCCATGTGGTGTGTTCGAGTATGAAACCCACTGGGGTTACTGAGGAACAAATCAAGTTGAGAGCCTTTACCTTTTCGTTGAAAGATTCAGCGAAGGATTGGTTATACTATCTACCCTCTGGGAGCATCACCACATGGAATAACTTGAAGACAATGTTCCTTGAAAAATATTTCCCAGCTTCAAGGGCGGCCAACATTAGAAAGGAAATATGTGGTATACGGCAAAACAATGGAGAGTCATTGTATGAATATTGGGAGCGTTTCAAAAAGTTATGTGCAAGCTGCCCACACCATCAAATCAGTGATCAATTACTCATTCAATACTTTTATGAAGGACTTTTTCCGACTGATAGGAGCATGATTGATGCCGCGAGCGGTGGTGCTTTAGTTGACAAGACACCGGACGCTGCAAGAACTCTAATTGCAAACATGGCTGCAAATTCTCAACAGTTTGGCAATAGACTTGTCCAACCGTCTAAGCAAGTGAATGAGGTAAATATTTCTGCTCTTGAACAACAAATTACTAGTTTAACTACTCTTGTTCGTCAATTAGCTGTAGGCAATATGCAAACTGTAAAAGCATGTGGAATTTGTTCGGTAGTTGGGCACCCAACTGATGCCTGCCCAACTCTTCAAGAAGTTGAACAAGTCAACATGGTTGGAGGTTTTCCTGGACAACCTCAAGGTAAGTATGATCCATTTTCTAATAAATATAATCCTGGATGGAGGGATCACCCGAACCTTAACTATGGGAACTCACAAGGGAACCAGTTTGTTGCGAATCGTTCCAACTTTCAAACGTATAGACAACAATTTCCTTCCAGCCAACAACCAGCCCAAAGCTCTAGCTCAGGTATGAATCTAGAAGATATTGTTAAATCTCTTGCTACTAACACTTTGCAGTTTCAACAAGAAACACAACTATTCCAACAAGAGACAAGAGCTAGTATTCAAGACACAAAGGCTAGTATTCAAAACTTGGAAAGACAAATGGGCCGACTTGCAACTACGGTTAGTCGGTTGGAAGCACAGAGTTCTGGCAAGCTACCCTCTCAAACAGTTGTTAATCCTAAAGAGAATGTAAGTGCAATTAATGTTGAAAGTATGTCGCTGGAAAAGAATGTTGATTTGAGTAAGGAAATAAGTGCAGGAATCATTGTCAACAATAAAGAGAAGTCTCAAGGTAAGCTTTCATCTTTTTCTGATTATGAACAAGTACCTCCATTTCCTCAAGCTCTTTTAGAACCAATAAGAGGAAACTCAAATAATGATCTGTATGAGACCTTTCGTGAAAGTGATGCTAATAAACCACTTTTAGATTCTATGGAAAAAGTACCTCGCTATGCAAATTTTCTAAAAGAGGTACGCACTATGAAAAAGAAACGAAATGATGAAAGAATTGAGGAAGTGAAAGTGCAAGAGAATGTCTCTATGGATAGTCAAAGCAATCTTCCTGAAAAGTGCAAAGACCCAGGTATGTTTACTATTCCATGCATGATAAGTGGGGTGAAATTTGAAAATGCTATGTTAGATTTAGGAGCTTCTATTAATGTCATGCCATATTCTGTTTATGCTTCTTTAAATCTTGGACCCCTGAATAAATCTAGTATAATAATTCAATTGGCTGATGGATCTACTACATATCCTAGGGGTGTGATTGAGGATTTGATTGTTGAAGTTGATAACTTGGTTTTTCCTACTGATTTTTATGTGCTTGATATGGAAAATAATAATCATATTTTGTTAGGAAGACCATTCTTAAAAACTGCAAAAACTAAAATCGATATTCATAATGGTATGCTTACAATGGAGTCTAATGGTAAACTTGTGACTTTTAATATATATGATACCATGAAATCTCCTAGTGATGATAATTTTGCAATTTTTGTTGATTCTTTGAAGTTTGTTACATTTGATGAAATTGCTTCTAATGAAAATAAAGAAGAAAAAAATAATAAATCATCTTTGAGTACTAATCTGCATGAAGGAACTGTTTCTTTGAATACTCATAATCATCGAAGGTACTCAAAAAGACGATGGAAATTTAAAGAAATGTCATAAGTCGAGCCAACGACGATAAACAAAGGCGCTGCTTAGGAGGCAACCTAAGGTGTGTTTGTTCCATTCTTTTTCTTTTATTCCCTATTCTCATTCAATAACCCTTATTCTACATGTTTTTATTCAACATTGGGGACAACGTTGATAATAAGTGTGGGGGAGGGAATTTAGTCTTATTATTTGTTTGCTTATGTAAAAAAAAAAAAGTTTTATTATTTATTTTTCAAAAATTATTTCACTAGTATTTTATGCAAAATAAGTATTATTTTGAAAAAAAAATTATTATATTTTTTTCCCTTCTTGGAATTCATAACATGATTGAATAAATAGTTTGGCAAATTGTGATTAGTTTGTTAGCATTTCCTGCTTGATATGTAGTGGCTATATTAAGTAAGCAATAAGCCTGTGAGATTTTGAGCCATTGACTGACACTTCGGTCTCATTTTCTTTCTATTGTGCGATTTCTTTCATAATTTTGTTTCTCTAGAACTTGCCTTGATTCTCTTTTAAAGCTAATTAGACCATGCATGACTCAAGTGTGATTAAGGCCATTATTTGATTTTGAGCCTCACTAGCCAAATAACCGGTTTGTCCTATGATTTATCATTCCTTTGTTAACCGCTTTGAGCTTTATGGCCATTCCTTTCTTTATTTTGAACCACATTACAAGCCTTTTATATCTAAAATAATGCCTTCACCCAGCTGAATAACTAGTGGAGCAAATTTTGGATTATTTTTAATCTACGTGAGGTTGGGAAGGATTAGTGTGGGGGAGATCACTTACTTTTTTTAGTATGATTGAGAGTGAGGTGAGTTGTATCTTCGTTGCCAATATGTCGTTGGTCTTCTATGAAAAAAAAAAAACATGAAAAATTGAAAAATTGAAAAAAATGAAAATGGAAAAATGGAGAATATATGTTTGAAAAAGAAAAATATTTCTGGAAATTTATGAGAAAATGAGAAAGAAACAGCAATTGATTTTGAGTTGAAGTTACTTCTAAATAAACGAAGTAAGGGAGAAATTCTGGTAATACTGAGGAAGCATTCTATACTTTTGAGAATGATAGTCATATTGGAGCCTCAATAGGAAATGCTTTGAGTGAAAAATTGAGGGTGTTGAGCAAGTATCTTGGATTATTTGCTTATATTTTGCTCCTCTAGTTTGAAAGTTATATTTGAGCTACTTTCCTAAATATTTCCTACCTTAACCCTAGCCCCATTACAACCTGTGAAAAGTCCTTATGATTTGTGTCATGCATGACTCTTGTAGTGGTGATTGAGAAGATATACAAGCCTATGGTAGAGCAATTTTATAGGAATGAACTTGAGTGAAATTTATACCCATCAAACACTTGAGTGATGAGTGACATTCCTCTGAGGGCTTACTTATTTAGTTTTCTCCATTTTCAAATAGGGTGCGAACTTATTAATTGCAGGGTGCTTCAGATTGTTGTTCATGATATGTTATGAGTTTTGGGAATTTCATTTCTATTTACTTCGCAAATAATATTTTTGCTTGGGGACAAGCAAACGTTTTAGTGTGGGGGAATTTGATGTGCATATTTTACGCTCATATTTTAGGTACATCTTTATAATAATTTTGC